CTGCCTCCTGACTGCCTGAAGGGCCAGCCAGGCCGAGGAGGTTGCTCTTGCCAATCCACGGCCTGCCTCCTGACTGCCTGAAGGGCCAGCCAGGCAGAGGAGGCTGCTCTTGCCAATGCCGAAGTGTGTCAGGGGCTGGCGCTGCAGCATCTTCTGAGGCTGACGTGGATACTGGCTAAGAATAGCCTGTTCCCGAAACCCTGGTTTGGTGCCTGAGTTTCAGGGCCGGTCGTTCTGGTGAACGACCGAAAATAGCCCTTCATTTCAGGCTAAAAAGGCTCTTGCCATTTTTAGTTTGAAATGACACAGGGACTGTAGGCTCTTTTTTTCAGGCTGAATTCTAGGCTTTTTGGTTGAAGGGCGCAGGGCCTGGAAAATGTCCTGCATGTGCAGGCGCAGCATGTAACACCAATCTACCTGCAGGAGTGGGTAAGAGATCAGTGTTAGTTCGAGTTCTAAATATCAGTTACGTGCGGATCGCTATTGAGAAAATTCCGTACTTATTGGGTGGGCGGGTTTTCATTATTGACGAAGAGGTTTAAGTGTCATCAAAATGGGACTCACTAGCTAAGAGATGCCGCAACCTGATGCTAACCTGTGAATCATTGGGACCTAGAATGCTGCGTCACCTCTTACTACATGAGTAGAGGACCTGTCAAGCCACTGTGTTGGATGAATAGAAGCCCCCATTCTGAGATCCCGCACAATTTTGAATGAGTTGTCGTGCGCTAAGAGGAAGTATCTAGGGGACCTATCAGCACGGAGCGCTGAGCGTGGAACTGTACATGTACCTCCAACTCCGGCTGGCTCAGGGCACGTAACCGCAAGGAAACATCAATGAATAGCTGCCAGTTCAGGGACTCTGGTAATTCGACTGATATCCCGAATTCTACAACATTTCGGTCTTGACTTTGGCACCCCATCCAACAGACCCTTAAAATTATCGGCTGGCCTAGCACTTGCAGGGACTATAAGGGACGACGAGATTCTCGTGGTGAAGCATACACTAGTCAGAAGCGAGCGAGAGGGATGGGAAGAAGAAGCATGGAGAGGCATGAAATTTCACAAACTAACTGAAAGAGAATATGCGGTTAGAATGGCAGGGGAAAATAAATTCTTTGAATATATGTTTTAATTTTCATGACCAGGACGACAAACTGCATAGTTTCGGCTCTTCATTGGAAACAGTAGAACAGGCCAGGGCAAAGCTCGCGTGAGCTCCGTAGTGTCTGAACTACCTTCTCCAAAACTCCACCAGTAATTGAACCAACAGGCATTCTTCAATAGTTTGCTTGCAGTTTTCCTTGTAGTACGATACCATGTGATCAACGACTCGGTGACTCAATTTTCCAGTATTCATTCATCATTTGGTCTACTTTTTACTACCATTCAGGAAACACTCAGGCAAACTTTCAATCAAAGTTTAACCAGCATCTTTCAATTCCAACCACTCGAGAAATACCGTAAAAAAACGATCAGTATAAGGTTATTTCTTACTCTACGCCAGTGATCGGTTCAGGCGTCTGTCACAAGACATGAGTACAGTCCGAACCTTTTCAGTTGCAGGGTCAGTCTTGACCAACCTCAATCAGATAGCCCTCAAGGATGCTTTCAAGTATTGGTATGTCAGTGCAACTGGCTTCAACCAAGATGAACTATCTATTTTCGTGGTTCACTCTGAGTTCGCTGAGGGAACCATTCATGACCTGAGACTCTATGTAAAGAAGGGGAAAGAGACCCACGAGCACTTCGATTCACTCTGGGTCACAGCAACCAGGTACCTTGAAGAGAGAGAGAAGGCACTTGATGTGAGTGGTACTAAGCCGATCTGGGGCTTCAGACCAAAGCTCTACACAGACTTCCCCAAGCCTCCAGTTCCATTCCATCTCACGGATGACTCTAGTTGGGAAGACCTAGTCGATCTAGCCGAGAGGTACATCTCGCCTGCAGCGATTGACTATGAGGCAGTGACTGACCCATCTGAGTTCCTCCATCTTAGACGAGGGATCTTCTCTCAACCATATCTTCCTACTCTATGGAACGAGTTTTCTGCTATGGCTGACTTTCGTATCATGGGGACTTGGCTGGAAGTGCTCGGAGCTAGCAGGCTTCAAGTGGCTCTACAACCAGAGACCTCAACCTCAGAGAGTTCGGAGACGTGGTATGAAGCACAAGAGACATATAGTAAAATCAGACATTAAGGGTGTGACCCAGAGGGATGAGTGAGGACTCGAGATTAGTGTTGGCCATGTTCTCTTTCATGTGTACTTTCATAGAATATTATGAGTTCCCACTCTTTCCTCACCTAATTTCGTCTTTGCTCGAATCGGTCAGTCTTGCTACCTGCATTGTCATTGCTGATGATTGTGTTTTTTGATGATTCTGTTACAGTTCTCAAAATCAAAAAATTACAGAATTGACACATGCATGAAATTTCAAAACCTCATGATTATTATTTTTATTATTCTTTGTTGTTCCGAATCAAAATAAAAGATTCCTAAGACCGGGGACCGGCGAAGACCGCAATTGAAGGGTCTCGCTCGAAGCCGGACGCACACAACAGGAAGGGATTTGCTTTAAATTAATTTATTTAATTGAGTTTATTTATTGCAAACGTTATCTGAAACCCTGCGTGACAGCCTGTTAACTTTCTGGTCGTCTGAAGAGGCCCGATTGGGAAAAGTGCGATAAAAATGGCGCCGTTGCCGGGGATATGAAAAATTTTCGTATCCAGAACGAGCCTGGGTCAGCAAACATTTTTTAGCTTTGATTAGGCCTTGAGAACTGTTGACAATTTCTGACTTTTCCACAGTGATTTTGCAATTATTCTCTTGGAAAGCCTAGTTGCTAACGGTGTTTTATCTTTCCTTGTGTGAGGTACCACGCTGGATTGGAGAAAGAGATTGATATTACTGAACTGGAGAGAATTATGCTTGATCTCAAGTATGCCTTATGAGCCTATGATGTCCTTGAAAAACTAAGAAGGGAAAGAAAGGGTCAAGAGCTCAGAGACTTCATCAAGAATGCTAACTACTGATGCATTAAAAGAACTCTCGAAAGTAACTACTAAAGGGATATTCCCTTATCAATATGAGGATTGTTG